CTTTATAAACTTCATACATCTCTGTTTTTGCAACACTTATGGGCTCGAATGAATACTGCACTGTTATTGTTCAAATCAGCTACTGATGCAGACAAAGGCTGTATTCACATGGTAGTTCTATTCTGTTTTCCTGACGTTTCCGTAATTGTTAATTTCCACATTATATTTGAACTTTCACACAACAGAAAATAAATACCTATGTAAATGCTGCCAAAGAAGCTCACAAAGTAAAGAAACTTTCCCTCAGAGTTGCCATTGGAGTTGGCATTGAAACGCCTCTTCTGCTTTCCCTTCTTTTACTGTACAATTTCCCACTTACATTTCAACCTTGTAAGGCACAAAGTCTGATATCAGACAGGTATAACTCTAGGAGATGGTAAGATTAGAAATGGGCTCCTGCACTTCTCATAGATGAGCCTGTTTTAGCCCTTTTCAGAATCAAAGCCCCAGAAACCCATTCTGTTCATATGCTTAACCTTCTTGCACTAAACAAACTCCCACTATCTATTCCATCTCTGAAACTGTATACAGCAGGCTGACTCAATAACATCTCCACAGAGGCGGATTTTGGTTCTGTTGCACTGAGCACCGAGCCCAGGGGGCACTGTAGGTTGTCACAACTATGATGCAGTGAATTGAGCAGAACAAGAGGTGAGGGGGGGGCATGCACTGAATTTTGGCCTTGCACAAGGCGCCACTGAAATTTCAAAGATCCAAGTCCTCTCCTGATCTCCAGGTTCACTGGATCAGTTCAGGGCAGAAGCTAAATAATGCCAAGCTGAAATGTAGGCTGAAAAGAGATGCAACGTGCCAAAAGAAAGAGCAACTGAGACATAAAAGACTTCCCGTTGCCCCCATTTTAGTTTGAAATTTAAGCTTGACATTTTTTAAGCTGCAACCATGTTTTCTAGCAGCACAATCATATGCAGAAGTCTCACCAGGTTCTATGGGAATGACATCCCAAATAAGTGTACAGTGTATAGTAGCATTAACACACACAACCCTTCAAAGAAGTTTAGTCATCTATCAATTATATTAAATGTCTCTTACATTGTAGCAAAATAAGGGTAAGAACTGCTACATGCAGCACAATCCTAGACAGGCCTACTTAGAAGCAATTTACACCTAATATAGTAAGATTTCTTCCCAGTTAAATATGCTAAAAGATATAAAGATAAGTCAGCTCATTTTGTTTAAGAATGAACTAAGCGTAGACTCAGCTGACCTTGTATACCAGGTGGGATAGGTGGTAACTACAGGACACTAAAAATGAAGAGCACATTCTAAATGTTCAAATGTGCCCCACCCCCACTTGATGTTTAGAACAACTCGGCAAGCTGGAGAAATTAAATCAAAGCCTATTTGACAACAAAACATTATCAACTGACAAACTCATGCTATTGTGAACTATAGTAGCCTGAGCACTAGCCTGCATGCAAGGGATTTCCTATATACAGTGAGGTAAGTTGCACTGTCTCTCTGAGCCTTCAGTATCCTTCTGTAAAATGTTGATAAAATGTCCCTTACAGCGTGGAGAACTAGTGATAAATACGCCAGTGGTGGCTACTTATGTATGTGTGCGCACTTAGTACTGCATAAAGTTTATCCAGCTAAATACTTCATAAAACTCTACCACAAAAACTTTGCTGAAGTTAAAACTAAATTTGGGCCATTGATGCTATAAGGAGCTCTATTCCACAAACTCTTGGTTCCGGGAATCTCACTCTTTTAAATAATAAAGTATTACTTGCCTCCCCCCTTACATAAAATGCATATTTATATATTGGCCAGATTCAGATAATCAGCAGTAAAAAGGTTATGCAAATAATTAATCTTATGTGATGTATCCAAAGCATACATGTTCTAAGTAAATTGAGGTTTCATACCACATGCCTTGGTTATACTTGGCTTAAACGGTTGCTTGTTCTTTCCAAGTGGAAAATTAGTTGCCCAAGTTTGCTTTATGTCAAGATAGGGATAGCAAATGTTAAAATTTATTTTACAGGGCACATGGTACTTTTCCAGGTATGGAAAAAAAAGGAATTAAATGTAATATTAAGTCAACTAAAGCAGAAGGTGATAAGACTTTCCCTTTCCATCAGTTGGTTTTACAAAGCTATCTGAAATCCATTCAGCTTTGGAATTAGTTTAATGCTCCCTAAGTATATGTGGAAATGTAAGGACTGCTTGACCAGCAAGTCACACAAGTCACCACTATAAAATACTGCAGAGAAGCACTACTATCCCAGTTTTACAGAGGCTTAATCCTTCTAGAACTACAAAAAGGGTTCTGTAGCAAAGCAAGGAACTGAACTTCAGAGTTTCATGTCCTAATAAAATATTTAACCATGAAGCACTTCCGTTCTTTAAATCAGTGGTATCTATGCCAATGTTCTCTTTTCCCGATGCCTAATGAGGGAATGCTTCAATTGTATCCTGTTGTTGAATGTGCCACAGGAGACCGGCAAATATGTTAGGTAAGGTTACTTGTCTGTAAGACCCAGTTCTTGAGAACTTGACAGCTGTTATATAAGGACCCTGGTTTAAAATTATCAGCCATTAATCACTGCCCCCATTTTCAGTATCTCAGCTCCACAAACCTTGGAGCAATGTTTTTGTTTCCTCCCCTGGAGGCTGACTTGTCACTCTCTGTAATTCAAGTCCGTCTGTAATTCAATACCTTCTTAAGATGAGAAGGGTTGAAAATTGTAGAGGCTCTCCAGAAACAACCAGTACCTCCTTGAAAAGTTAGGCCAATGGTTGGAAACAGCAAAGGAAAAAGAATAGTAAAATAAGAACGGAATCTCGCATTTTTGACTATCTAAATGGAGAGAACCAGGAAACAAATGAGACAGGGAGCAACTTCCAGTCTGCTGGTGGGTAGGTAAGGTGGAAGAACTGTCCCAGCAGGTAATACTGAAGACATCTGCAGTTGGGGGTTTTAAGAGATTTTTGCAGACATCCATAATGAAGGGACTTGTGCTTCTACAGCCTAAGTTCATAAACCTCACTTCTGTAGCTGGGATTTTTGTAAATACTCTGCTGATCCAATGCAGAAAGGATGACGCTGTGGGGTGAAGATGTACCCTGGGATTCAATAGGCACTGCAAAACAAACAGGCAACCACACCAAAGCCTGACCAATCCACTGGTTTCAAACTACTTGCCAATCGCTTCTGTTCTCTTTTCCATCTCTGAGGCCTGAGCACACCATAATAGTCCTAGCTACATGCTCCCAGTGGAGTGAATGGAGCTCCCCCCATGCAAATACTAGGCCCAGTTTCTATTGGGACTGCGGGGGGCAAAGGGTTAACACCCTCCCTGGTACTGATCCAGCTCAGGGGATACATTAGATATTGCTCTTGAGTGCTAGGAAAATGTTGCACTCAAGAGCAAACCATATGAATAATGTAACACAGGAAAAGCCAACATGGTACCCTGCAGTTATTGCTTGATTCCAACTCTCATGAGTCCCAGTCAGCATGGCCAAGGGTAAGGGATGTTGGGAGTTGATGTCCAACATCATCTGAAGGACACCACATGTAATGTGTCGCTTGGCCCAAAGGCAAGTAACTCAAAACGTTCTTTCTCCGCAGTCTCTTTACTTTTCTGGAGGCCTTAGCCAACACAACAATTTGAAAATCAAACTGCTCTTCTTCATCTGCAAGAGTAAGGATAATTGTTCAATTTGATCTAAAGATTAATCATTTATATACTGAGCCTAAGAAACTCTGGCAACGTGACCAAGATAGAGAGGTCAATGAAGAATGACTTCACAGGAAAGTTACAGATAGGTAGCCGTGTTGGTCTGCCAGATACTGAAGAAGTGTGCATGCACACGAAAGCTCATACCAAGAACTAACTTAGTTGGTCTTTAAGGTGCTACTGGAAGGATTTTTTTTGTTTTCACAGGAAAGCTAATTTTATGTGGGGAAGGGCCTAGATCAGTGGCAGAGCACATGCTTTCCGTTCAAAAGGTCCTAGGTCCAACTATTGGCATCTCCAGATAGGGATGGGAAAGACTCCTGCCAGAAATTCTGCTCATCTGGATCATGGGCGGCAGCTGTGGCATGGCTCGCTGCCACCGCCAGGCTCCTTTCTCTGCTTCCAGCAGCTGGCGGGAGATGACATGACCTCTCCCCGCTGGCTGAGGGTGTGGGGTAGAAATTTGAATTTAGCCTGCCTGTGAAACTGACCAATTACGGGCAGGCTCAGGAGGCTGGTACAGTGGGGGGTGGAGCTGGATGAAGACTCCTGCAGGGTTCTGGTCCTATTCCCAGACATAAAGTAGGCCTGCCTCCTTACCCTTTACCGCAGTTGAACTTTTCCAACCAGAAGTGAACCCATCAGTTCCAAAAGTTACGTTCCCAGCTATGTAAAGGCCACTGGATGGGAACTGGAGCTTTTATAGGAATTATTCCAAGTGGATAATAAATTTGGGAAGGGAGGAAATTCAAAGGGACCTGCTATACAACCAGGAGCCAAGTATTTTCTTTTCCGCATTATCTGTGGCCTAGTTCAATCCAAGAAGTGGTCCCGAGATTCCTTTCCTTCTGCTCACACAACACCCCAGTGGTGGGCTCCCTGGACAGCTGCAGTCAGGAAGTGCAGATAGTACTGAGCTAAATGGACCAATGGTCTGTCTTAGTATAACAGAGTGTCCTATGTCCCCATTTTATATTTTTATTTTAAAAATTATATCCCACTTTTTTAAGGGAAAAAATCAAGTATGTTTTCACTGGGTAATGACTATCAAGTATGTGCCCAGAGATGGTAGTTGCAAGGAATAATATGGGTATCAATAAAGAAGGGAGCTAATAACTGTAAACAAATTAAAAGAGTTACAGCCGATAATGCCATCTCATTTGTTCATACTTTCTATGTTGAATTCTTTTCTTCAATGATTCTATTTGGGTCCATAAGAATTTGCATCATACTCTGAAAAAGCAAGATCTTAAAATAGCAGGAAACCAGAAGCTTATGTGCAGTCCTGTGCCTTACCACATCAGGTTTTGATGGGATGAAGGAATGGCAAGCATCATCTACCAGACGAGACAGAATTCCTGCTATTAGGCATCATTCTCTCCAAACTTTGTGGTCTGTTGCGCATCTGATATAAGATTGTTCATGAGGTAAGAATTCTGGGAAAATAAAGCAAAAGGAAGTTGGCATCAACAGAAGAAACAGCACACAAGTAAAAAACCAACTCCCCACATTTATGTTTCCTTATTTAAAACTGTAGTGATTATCACATTCTTGAACGTCTGACTCGTGATTTTAAAACTCCCCCTCTCTCATCAAAGGGCCATATTTCCATGAAGCAATAGAAGTTACCATCAGTTGAAGTCAATGAGAACAATGTTGTCAAACAGCTTCCGATAAGAAAGGGTTGGGCTTTTTACAAAAGTTAAGCCATGTTGCTCAGCTACTTCTAATGATGGGCGGGGGTGGGGGGGAGAAAATGTAGCACATCCTTAAGTGTTTTATTTACTCCCACTGCATAGTGGGACCATAGGGGTGGCAGTCATGAATACCTGCTGCATTGCAGAGAGTGGTGCTGGTAAAAGGGCTCTACTGCAGCCTAGTGCCTCATTTTCAGAAGCAAAAGAAAGGATGTCCTTTGCAAGGCCTCTCCTGCCTTGCAAAAGCCACCATGAACTATGGTAGCATTTGGAAAAAGGTCCAGTACAAAGGGATTTATACCCCAATAGACAAGCCAATTGGAGCAAGCCAAAATGGAAAAGCTAAACCCCCCAAATTAAAATGTGTGGTGACAGACAACATGATTGACAATGTTAAAAAACCAAAACATTCCTTAGGGAGAAAGAAGTTATGCTTTATCTCATTCTGATAATACTGAACTTGATGGCGCTATGTCTTTCAGTTTGGTGGTGAAAAGGGGACTTCCCAGATGTGCAGAAATGCATTTGAAAATGTTTGAAAAATTACAAACATCCCCTCCCCAGGCCAGAAGAAGGCTGAGCATAATCAGTTGGCTTCTAGCAGCTGCAGAACATCACAAATGTTAGTTATATTGAGTAGGTGGGTGAGGAGGAACTAGGGAGGTGGGAAATTGGCCTGCTTGATGCTCTAACATCTTATAATGTTCTGAAGGTGAGAATTAGGGTGGCAGGAACGCATGCTGCAAAATAAAATAATAATAATAGGGAAGATTTCAAAAGGTGAGAAAGAAGGATGGCATCCTTTTTCTCCCTCGCTGTCCTTTGTGGGCTTTGAACAATGTCACAAGACTCTCCCGCCCCCCGCCCCAGGAACTGCGAGCTGTTGGCAGTGCCCCACCACATTTTGCATTTGGATCCCCACTTGTCTTCTTATGATACCAACTAGGAAAATTCTGATGAAAATGGAAATACAGTGGTACCTCAGGATGCGAACGGGATCTGTTCCGGAGCCCCGTTCGCATCCTGAAGCGAACACAACCCGCGTCTGCACGTGCACGTGCCACGTTTCACCGCTTCTGCGCATGACGTCATTTTGACTGTCTGTGCATGGGCGTGTGGCAAAACCCGGAAGTAACGTGCTCTGTTACTTCCGGGTCGCTGCGGAGCGCAACCCGGAAATATTTAAGTTGAATCACATTTATCCCAAGGTATGACTGTAGCAGAAATTGCCCATTTATTTATCATGTCTAGAATGGAAATCAATCCAGCAAATAAGATCAGTATTTGCTGTTGCTTTCTGGCCAGCAAAATGTTCCGCCCCCCAATCCCATTTGTATTGAGTTTCCTTTGCATTGAAACAAATGGGATGGAAGAATGTAACGACGTGATTTACGTAGATTACACTGTTAATTACGTACATTAGGCAGGTTACGTAACTTCGCCACAGCAAACAGCAAAACAAATAGTGTAGTCTTTGGCAGAAGACAAACGGCAGCACAACAGAAATAGTGACGCATGTGACGAAAACAGGGCAGAACAGAAAGCGGTGCCTTCTTCTATCCCTAACAGGAATTTAAAAAACACGGACTAGGACAATGTTCCAACTGAACCATGTTCTAGAACAGATGCATTTTCCCTCTTCAAAGATCTCATTAAATCACCTATGAAAGTTAACACAAAGCTGGCTCTTTACCTCATGCTAGCCAGCTTCTCTCATAACCAAAGCTTGCAAATCCACTTTAAATCCTAGTTTCAAATCCTGGTGAAGATGAACACCCTGGTTAGCATTAATTATGGCTACTGCTGGTGCACAGTGTTGGTTTCAGCATTTTTTGGCAGTGGCGATGCACTGTGCCTGATCTGCACTGGGTGGAGGCAGCTACTTCCTCACTTTGCTCTTACCAGGCCTTGCATGCTTGGGAAATGCACAGAAACAGCAAGTAGGAAGAGGAAGAATAGGGAGGCACTGCGAGCCAACAGTGGGCCTTGCTGGGATGTGGCCCTCATCAGATGCCCAATGACCTTGCTAGCCCTGTGGTGCACACAGCATGCAACTCCCCACCCTCCCGGTGCAAAGAAAACTATCCCTTTTAGAAATTCGTCACAGATTTTGAAACATCCATGGAACACATTTTTGAAACTTTGGCTGCAGGGTGAATGAGGTGAAGTGGGAGAAGCCCTGGTGATCCAACGCTACACGCCACAGCAATCAGATCTGCCTCTGACTGTCGCACTGAAATCCTCACTGTATCAAAGCAGTGGGAGTTAAAGAAAGTTACTCTTCTTTACCCCATACCACAGGGCACAAGCACAAAAGGAGGTAGAACGGCCTAGAGTGGTACAGTCCATTTGGGGAGTTACCATTACCAGTGTAAAGAGGGCAATGATACCATGTGGTTTCCACTCCCCTTCTACTCTGTAGCACAGATGTACTTCCTTACACATCACCCACAACACTGTTTAAAAATATGTACATGCAACGTATGAAGGAAGCCAACTGTGAGAAAAAGGTCGATACTGGTTAGCCAGGATCTAAGGAGCTACTTTAGGTACACACAAGAACTTGGACATGCCTTGTGAGGTGGTCTTCTTCTTCTTCTTCTTCTTCTTCTTCTTCTTCTTCTAGCAACCCCATTACTCCGTTTCAAGAACTCTCCTCCATGTGGAAAACAAGGTCTTCTTTACATGAACCAGAAGGCTGCAGTTATCTCTCACGCACACAGAATTGGTTCTTTGGAGCCCTGCTGTTATTTTTATTTTTCAAAATTATAAAAGAAGGCTGATTTATTTACTTATTAATCAATTGAAAGCTAAACATTTGGGTCACAAAAAATCCCCTTCGTTGTTTTGTCTCACACTGACACCATGATCAATGAATTATTTCAGCCTCAATCCATGATCTGCAACACCAACAGGGCCTCTTGACTCTGTCAAATGCATCATCTGCAAGACGGGATAAGGGCATATCTGCCCCAAGTTCAAACACACTTCAACACAAGGGAGAAATGAATGGCTTCATGAACTAAGCCCTGACCACGCAATCCTCTGCTACAGTCATAAATGTCTGGACCAGAGCCACAGCCACATATGGATACACCCTAACTGAGTTAAGGCAGCAGTCTACATCACAGGGCCACCTATGAAGCACATGTATTATTTTTTATTTTTACCTGTTCTTGAGACATGAACAGACTTGCATTCCACTTGTGAATAAATACTAGAAGCGTTTAATCTAACTCCCTAAACAAATAAGGAAGGCATTAAGAGAACAAGCAATATTATTCCAGTTATATTAGTCAAAGGCCACACCAATCAACCTTTACACTTCCTGCTTGCTATTCAATTTAGCAGTAGATCTGAAATTATCTGGAGCCAAATAAGTGGCCATGGGTAGCCTGACAAGATTCCCCAAAACAATGACACTCAGGAGATGTTGTGACGCATTTAGATTAGACATGTTCAACTGCTAGTTCTCTACAGGGTCCGATTTTAACATGGAGACCACAGACTACAGAGGACATCTTACCACCAACAGCCACAAAAAGGCAGCAGAAGCAATATATCAGGTCCTTAGATTTGCAAAAACTGTGAAAAATAGTAGCAGCAAGTACATGGGAAGATAAAGTCTGCCAGACCAGAGAGTCTGTCTGCTTCTTTGGAAGGGCAAGGAAAGTACCAAAACAAAAGTGAGGGCTAGTGCATTTTCTTTTCCTCTCCCTCTCTCTCTCTCTCTCTCTGTTATCTGTATACATATATACTGCTGCTACTATGGCAGAAACTACCAATAATGCTATGATAATGGCAGCCACAGAGAAAAGCACAACTTAAGATGCACTGCCGTCTTGACAAGAAAACAGGTATCAATGCAAATACTTCCACACCCGCATACATTTGTGAAAGAGTGAAGTTTTTCTACCTGGAGGTAATTGCTCAATATTTTGGGGACCTGACATCAAAACATCCATTTATTCCACAACAATGTTTTCTATATGGTTTTCGAAGTATTAGCTTGGTGGTTTTTTTTAATGTGATCGTTTCCATCCAAATGTAAGCCTAGAAATCCTTCCTTATTTACTATTCCGTGTGCTACATTATTGCTATTCCCTGCGCTATATTATTGTCAGTTCAAACTACAAGCAGGCTAATGAACTACCCAGAGAGTTCCCATTATCCCCTAGTGGGTCTCATCCCACCACCTGGGCTTCATTGTTGTACAAGTCATACCAAGCAGGGTGTTCCAATGTGACTCAAGTAAATAATTTGGGATAGATCATTACATATGATTACACCTGAAGTGGAATTCATGCCCCTTCTAAATTTAGTATCCCATCTCTCTGGCAAGTAAACATACAATGCTGCAATAGAAAGTTCAAGAGACTGCAGGATGCAGCTATGCAACACGGTGGAGTGAATCATTAGAATACTCCCAATTAACTTAGTTTCAAGCAATTATAGGCTTTTTTTTTGGTAAAACACGTATCTGATTCTGACCATAATTTAGGGTTTCACATTGCTTTTGAATTCATATTTGAGTTCAGACTATTGCAGAAGGAATGGCTGGTAACAAAATAAAGATGTTGGTTCTGGGCGTATGTCTCAGAACCACAAGTAAAACATAATCTGGGGATCTGGAATACGCTAGTGGTAGATGGTGATGCAGCAAAATGGCCACCCAAGCAGCTGCGTGGCATTGCCCCTGCTCAGGCAAGCAATTCGGTGAGGGGAAGCAGTCGTGCTAAGAGAAATTTCTTTTAAAAAATCAAGCTACTTTTATTATTTTTTTTAAATGGCAACAAACCTAACCTATTCAGAAACACAATTCTCCATTGCCATCTTTAATACAGGGACACTTGTACTTTATATGTGGCCCTCTTAATAAACAGTTTCAAGTTCATTCTTTTCCATTATCATCACAACCACAACAGAAACCCAACCTTCTTTTTCTTACCCTTGACAAGGTTGGGGAGGGAGGTGGAAATAGTCGACAAAGGCCACACCCAAACCACTGCAAAACACTCCCAAGCGCTGGATTAAAAAATTGCAAAGTGGAACTGTGTTGTTTTTTATTTTTGCAAGGGAGGGGCTCAAAGGGTCGGGGGAAAGCAAGTTCTATAAGCAGAAGGGTAGGTTGTTTTTTTATGTGCTCTCTTAAGAAACCAAGAGAGAGAAAAGCGATAAACGAAATTTTCAAGAAGACTTTATTCTCCTCATAGCATCAGCAAAGCTCCCGACACAAAACCCAATACTGTTTTGATATGACGTGGAAATTAACAGCAGCAGTGCTGCAAGCACTGAATCTACTCTGCCAGCAACAAAATGGCCAGGAGTGCAGTTGCCGCCATCTATATTCTTCTGCTGTTAGCTGCGGTGAAAGCAACACATGCAGACACCACAAACAGTTTTGAGTAATGACGTGTAGTTTTAATACAGAGGTTTTAAAATGTGTTTCTTCCTCACGCCCACTTTTGTTTGCATCTTCTGCCTTCTCAAAGAACAGCAAAATACAGATGCATCACAATGGACCACTACCAAAAATAACACCATTCAGAATCATGTCCAGCTGTTTGCTTAGATAGCACCAATTAAAAAATGCATAGGAGTTGTTACACTGCCCTGATATGTTCTATCATGTCTCAGTGTACTTCACAAAAACTGTGGAGTCTTATTGCAATGGAACAATCCCAGGCCTATGAGGGAGAATTATGGTCTCGGTAAAGACTTGGGGGTATTCCTTGTTAAAGAAATACAGTTTGAAACATTGATCAGAATCAGTTCTTGCCATGCCCACTTTGCAGAAAAGAAAACGGAAGCAAGCAGAAAGAAACAAATTAGCCCAAGGTCACAAAGCTCAGCCGAGAACAGCAAATTTTCAGACTTCGAAGTAAACCACATAAGCTTCCAAACTACTTTCAGCCAAGGCTCACCTGCCTCCAGTGTCCCTGTATGAATAACTCCGGACACACAAGATGGGCAGTCTTGCTTTCCTCATCAACCTACAGAAATATTACGCCTCTCTCACTCCTTGTAGCTTTCAGGTTCCATAGATTCCCTTGCAGGAGCAGCCACCGATCACCAAAGAAAGTGGCTTAAAAAAACAAGCCCCCTAATCCAGATTCACAAAAAAACAACAAACACCAACATATCTGAGCGTGGTAAGAAAAATAGCAAATCTATCTCCATGCTCAGAAAAGTGTTTTAGGGAATAAAGAAAAGAGAGGAGTTTGTTCTATCCGTATTATCCGTATTCCTCATTTATGAATCCAGTTCACTCCCCAAAATACTAAGGAACGCCATTATGGATATGTAACCCCTAGTGGTCATGTCTAGAAGACACAAGAGGTGTTTGTTTAGATGGCGTCGGTCAAAATGAATTTAACCCAGCACTCTCCCAACCTACCCAGCTGCATTATAGTCTCCAAGTCCTGCCAGGAACAAGCATGATCTCAGCACCAAGTCGGTCCCTTCCCAGGAGCAGCCATCGCAGTTGTGCCTCCTGTTGCCTTCCTCTGCGGAACTAGCACTGCAGGATGCAAGACTGCCTCTGGAGGAGACAGCTCTGCAGAGCAAGGGCTCACACCGGGGGCGAGGGGGAGGGAAAGAGAGAGAGAGAGAGAAGTGGTGCACCTACAATGAAAGAATTTCAAATTAGGCATAACACTAGGCAAATAAGAAAGGAAAAACGAAGGTGTGCATGAGGGGATAATATAGGAGGGGTGTATTTGCTGTGTCTCCTTGCCTTCCTCCTTCCACGCATCATGTCTGCCTCCAGAAATGGCTTCCTGATTATTTCTCTCCTTCCCCTCCGCCTCTTGCTCCTTTGAGCTAGCAAATGTGAATAGAAGACTATGCATATTCACCTTTCTTGGGGCTTTTAAAGCCTACTGGTGAGAATACATCTTGTAACAACACTTGAGAAGACAGAGTACTTTAAAAGAAATTAAGATGGAGAATCAAAATGCATCTGATCTGGTTCCAAAGCCAGCAAACTGCTGCCGAACGACTGTCTGTACTTGACTCTCTCTATGCCGGTGAGTCACCAACACAAATCCTTTTACCATCGTAAACCCTTCAATTCATTGGAGCATTTTATGAGAAAACGCCACAAGAAACTCACCCTCTCATGTTATGTGATAATGCTAGTTACTCTGGATTTCATGGCAGGTTCCAAAGAGAAGAGAAGATAGACCCCATCCTCCAGAACAGAATAAATGGTTGACTGGGATTGGCTATGGGATAGTCCAGAATGGAAAATCTGATTCATGAAATGGTTAAAGCAAGCACTACGTCTACCTATATGCCGGATCCTCATCCCCCCCACTCCGCTCCCCGGCTCGATCTGGTGGTTTATTCTTCTTGACCATCCACCTATCGTTCTCCAGCCATCTTAGAACTCTCCATCCCCTCCTTTTAAAACAAAACAAAATGACAGAAAGCAAGCCTCATATATCTTACCACTATGTTCTGTTGCCATTCAATCCCATCACAGCACTGACTTTGAGGTTACACTGACGTAACCTAGGACACATTTCAGTTTTGGTTCAGTCCAGGTTTTTACATATATACCAGTGGCAGGCACTCTCACTGCCCCAAATAGTTTACAATACATGTAAATAGCTCTGCCTAGTTAGAATTTTTCCACTCACAGACAGAGATAGCCACCCACCAAAGTCTCTTTTTTGTTGTCTCTTCTGAAGCCTATAATAATGTCACGTCATCGTGGCTTGTCTCACAGCAGCCGGAAACACGCCTGCTACTGATGCAACTCGAGTCACAGAATATTTGTTTTTCCTTCTGCGTCACTTGAACCAGTAATAAACTAAACTAATCCACAATACTCAAGTTCCTGCTTTTTTGCTTTTCTCTTTAAATGACCAGCCTTGAGAACACAGACACATTCCAAAATGCCTGATTTAAGGAAAAGGAGGGGTGGAGAGAAGCAAACAGCCAACATTTTAAGTCACAAATTGTTCAGACCCCCTTTTAAAGCAAGAGGAATGGAACATTTAGATTTGATATCCTGGCCCCAGCCAATCTGAGGCAGCTTTTCACCTGCCACTGCCTCTCCCTCCAATGGAAATGTGTGTTTAGAATAAGAGCCCTCCCCAGCCAATCATGTGTAGGCTCAGGCACTCAGTTAATGATGCAGCAGTACAGGGAAGACTATCACATGTGAGCTGGAAGACTGCCAACATGGAGACACGGAGAGAGCAAGGTAAACAACTTTCCAACGCCAAAATGATGACATTTAATTCCTAAACGCTATCTTCCCTTCTTAACTCAGTCCCTTTCAGCTGGCCTGGAGATTCACAGTGTACCTGTTCCCCCTGATGCTTTTTAAACCCAGTAACATGCTAGGCAAAGATCACTGCGTCATCATTTGCCACTTTCTGAACTATGCAGATACAGTCCCTCAGATTTAAAAATCCAGAGACTGTCTTTTTAACCCCTCTGCCAACTCCTTGATGTTAACCTCTGAAAAACTACTGTTCTCTCTTCCTTCCCCAAATCTGCATTACAGCTACGCAGTGACATTTTACAACCTGTGCCTTCATTCCATTGGTGTGACGCAGGACACAGCCAACAGTATCTAGCCACAGAAAAATAACATGGGGTGTAAGAGTTCTGGGGGTGGAGAGTTTGGGGACAGAAAGAAACCCCAACAAATACCCACACACACACAAACATAAATGAGACAGTCAGTTCAACTCCCCCACCCCACATCCCAATCCGATACGTACGTAAGGAAAAAGAGGAACCACGAATTCTGTTCATCTACACCTGTGCAGTCCTCAACCCTCTGTTTGCGCCGCCGCAGGATAGAACATTCCAGAATTTTCCTCCCATTAACCCTTCCTATGTATGCCCCCCCTTGCGGGATTAACTGCGTTGCATCTTTCCGGTATCATCAGTGGACAAAATCTGCTGGTACCAAACAAGCTTCAAAATAGCGGTTCTTTTTTTAAAAAATATGCTGTATGGGTAAAGGAAGCATGCTTCCCAATGTTGTTATCACTTCTCTTTCATGAGCTCTCTCTCTCTCTTGCTGCAGCAGGGCTGTTGCTAGTAGACCTATCGACAGAGCTTGCTTTCCCTCTCTCTCTCTCTCCCCCTCTGAGCTGTGTGACGCAGCTCAAAATTCTCCAGGCTGCTCCTTGTGTTTTAACAGCAGAACTGCAGCTTTCCCCAGAGAGCCGATGCCAGCAGTACCAGGGCCGGACAAACCAAAGAGAAAGTCACTCCCAGGCTCAGCACCCATATCTCTGCGCTCCCTCCTCATCTTGGTTTCTTTGCTTCATTTCCAAGCTTCCCCTTTCTCATGTTCGCATCGTCAACTTCATGTGGCTCTCCCACAGTTACACTTGCTAGCTTAACTCTTTTTAGGGTTGGCAAGCATCTCCTGAAGAGGCACTGCTTAAAAACAGAGCAAAGTTTCGTGTCATTAACCCCCACCAGCTCATTCCCGTTTATAAAGCAACACAAAGCAGATGTTTTTCAATCCTTGAGAAAAGCTAGTGCACATCCCAGTGACACATGCAATATAATTTTTGATTTAACTCAAAGGGCAGCAAAGGCACTGCAGTTTGGAAAAGACAGTTGCTTTTAGGCATACACACGAGCACATGCTTTTAACCGTTTCATTTCTGCAAATGTCTGAAAACGTCAAGCCTTACACACTCCACTCAAATACATTTTGGAAATTTGTTAATTTGGGGGGGGCACGGGGGCGGGTAAAAAAACAACCTGTTTCTGTGGATGCATGAAACTCTGCAGGCCTAGGTCACCAGCAGTGTTAGCCTCAGGAGAGGGTTTTTCTTACAACAGCTAATCACTTCAGCATGGTGAGAGGAGCAAATGGTTTTCCCTCCAAAATGTTCCAGGGGTGTGTGTTCCCCTGGCAGCAAGCTGTGTGTTAACCCTTTCGGCCCCACAGATAAGTTTACTGGAGTTCAAATGGCCTGCCTCAGCTGTGAGAGGAAACCATTAGGAGCACCAAGGCATGACAAAAGGACCATTTGGGGAGCGATTCTTGAAAATCAGAATATGAAAGACGGAATATTTTGCTTTGTTGGGGTAATTCTGAAAGACTAGATAAAAGAAAGGCTCTGGTGAGCACCTCAAAACAGAAACATGCCAGCCTTAAATTTGTACTGGAAGGCTGACTGCACAATTTCGATGTTCTAGCAGAGCTGAAGAATCCAGTGATTCTCCCCCTCCCTCTTCTTTACAGAGTTATTTTAGAGTTATTCACTGCCTGAAAGTGACATCTGTTGTGCACAGATGCATGCAAGAACAATCGCAAAACTTCCAAATGCTAAAACAGTCCACACAGAGATGCAGAGCTCAAAATGTATGCGGAGGCAAGGCAAAGGAGTAGTGCTGGACAACGATAAAGTACAAGGCACTTCCAAGACTCCCAAGAGTTCTGAGTGAACTTCCTGGATGTCTTTGATTCAGCAGCATTTCTTTCAACTCTTTCCCTTCGAAGCTTTTGTCTTGTTGTTTTGATATGCAGAATTGTTTGATTCATATTCAGATGAGTTAAATAGGATGCTAAATGGTGACTAAATGGGTTTGGGCAAGGGAGAGGGGGTTTCTGTTTAGGTATTTGGGAGGTATTTGGCTAGGAAATGTTACCAAAATAAAAATAAAAATGACTATTTTTAAATACTAGTAAGGCAGTAAGAGGGACGCGGGTGGCGCTGTGGTCTAAACCACTGAGCCTCTAGGGCTTGCCGATCAGAAGGTCGGCAGTTTGAATCCCTGCGACTGGGTGAGCTCCCGTTGTTCAGTCCCAGCTCCTTCCAACCTAGCAGTTCGAAAGCACACCAGTGCAAGTACATAAATAGGTACTGCTGCAGTGGGAAGGTAAACGGCGTTTCCGTGCGCTGCTCTGGTTTCGCCAGAAGTGGCTTAGTCATGCTGGCCACATGACCCAGAAAAACTGTACACAAGATGCCTACAGGGTTTGAATCCCGTAACCTGAAAACTGGTGTGGACCCATTTGAAGCTCATTTCACAGTTAGCAGCTTTCCCCAGGGATTGGAGCAGCAAGAACTTCCTGGACACTCCATTTGAGGAAGGCTACAGCACATCAGAGGATGCTTCACAATACGACTGCCTGCCTTCACATGTGTTACGAGTACAAACTGTTCCCAAAATTGAACCATGCCCACATATTTCTTTATTTATAACTAGAATGCAACCTGTAATGTACAAATTACAGGGTAAAAGGCACTACAGTGTTCCCTTGAGCTGTAACATGGGAGAATGCCAGCAACAGCATTGGTGAACGATATTTACAAAAAAAGATGTTTAAGCAGACATGCAATGTCTATCACTCACCCAGATTATTTTGAGCACCCAAGTGAGGGCAGGTTCATGCTGGAAGTATACATCAGTTTACTGCTAAACCTACAACTGGATGTGTCCCTGTGACTAAAGTTCACATTTGACCAGCAGTAGTTTGGTATTAAATTACTGCTCAAAGAGCCAGAAATAGTTTATCACTGTTTCCGTCGAGAAGCCTCAAAAAAGAGACAGTGCAGACAGTTGTGGGGTATGGCTGCTTTTGTTCTACTGAGCAAAAATAGTAGGGTGGTGTTTTAAAAGGCAATCTCTTCTGTACAACCCTTAAAAGAAAAAGGCCTACTTTTCTTCCCAGCATGGGGGCAAAGCCAAGGGGAACAGCAGTAGTCTAATGCCAACACTGCAAGCATTTAAAAAGTACTTTACTGCTGGAGTTAAATGAGGAAAACAAGCTCCAGCTTTCAAGATGGCAATGGGGGATTGGTCAGGTCCTTGTTAAAGCCATAAAATCTCTTACTGAATATTGGGGGCGGGGGGGGGGAGCATGAAAGTTGTATCTCTCAAATTGTTAAAAACTTTATCTTCAACACTAAACAGGGACTAAAATTACGAGTCTTATTTTGTGTGCAGCCACAAGAATTAGTAGCGTTGGAAGGGATAGAGGGCACACGATAGAAAGAACCATTAGTTATGAGGAAAGACAGAATAAATGCATTACGTTTTGACCCTGTACAAATAGTGAAACTAGCATTACTAGCAGAACGACCAAACCACAACAAGGAAACCACATGCTAAAACAGATGCTCTTTGCTGCATGATCCACTTTGAAATCAGGTATGGAACAGACTTCTTCCTCATTGACTACAAAGCAGAACTGGTTCATATGCAGCTAGCTCACCAAGCAGCAAATCAGGTGAAGAAGGAACTTATGTCACCAAGATCCAGCTGCTGGAATGGGTATTATGTGGCACTTGTAGTAGTGCCAATTCCACTGATCGAAGCAATCAAGTGGGCACATGCGGGGTCAGGCAATCTTGTAGGTAAACTGGTCCTAAGTTATTAAGGGCTTTGCATACGAATAACAGCACCTTGAACCTGGCCCAGGGTATGAGCTTACACTGGCACTGAAATCATCTTCAGAGGCTCTTTTGCACACCATTCCATTCCCAAGTCTGCTGGGATGTGAGACACATTGAACAGAGCGTTTTCTACAGAAGCAACAAATTTTTGGAATTTGGGAGGTCCACTTGACCCTGCCCTGCTAGCTTTCTACAGGCTCAAAGAAATCTAACGGGGGGTTAAGGCTCCCCCATTTTCCTAAAGGTCCTTGGTGAGGAGTCATCTCTCCCACCCACCAGCCATTTCCTCGTGATACTAAATAGGGAGCTGCAAAGCTCTGGTACTTCCAAGACCAGGTTCTGCTTCAGGCTGAAGTGGAGGCGCTCTCCTCTAAAACAGTTAGAGCACTAAAGGGATTTCAGACTGAATGTTGTCTTCAGTCCACACCACTAAAAGTGACACTTTAAGACAGTCAGACAAATGCTGACTTAATGAGATACAAACTCCAAAGTACTTTGATCTACCTTTCACATTAAGCATTTTTCTAAGGCCTGGTCCCTATTATTCAATTATTCCCTATTATTCCCTCAAGTTATCTGGCAGTATTGAATTCATTTTCAGTATGTTGACAGTGAGTTTTACAAAGCATGCATATTGGATTGCTGTAAAAATGCTTGCACACTTATTTTAGCAAGTACAAGTAACTGCACACAGAGGAACAAACAGCGATAAAACTGAGGAGTGGAACTAAACAGCAGGCATTAATATAGGGAACACAAAGTCCTAGCATTGATGAGACAATGCAGCACCCTATGCCTCCATTTTAAAGAGACAATTATGCAATCACACGCAAGGAATTAATTGAGGGTTTCAATCGTGTTCTGTGGCATCATAGGATATTACTGCTCTACATTTCATTTTAAACATAAAACATACACCATCTGTAATCACCTTTAATATTAGTATGATGGGTGTGACAGCATCAGAAACGGGAGCCTCTTTAAAGATACTGGGGTGGGCAGTGATACGATATCTAGTACCATTACTCTCTGCAGGTGGGGCAAATGACAGGAAGCTGATCGCCTCTGTAAGCAGGAGAGCTGGCGAACCTCTGAAGCCAAGAAGCCAGTAATGCTGAAGAGAATTATTTCCATGATTAGCTGCTAAGAATAGAGACCACAGGGATGCCTTGTAACATGAAGGTACACTTGACAACATAACTGGAAGTTGCAGGGATTGCACTGGTAGCCCATAAATAGCCTTTCTCTACGCTTGACATTCTGTGCTTCATTAGTCATGGAATAAATACAAGAGAAAAGCACAAGAAAAACAAAAATACAAGATCAAGACACAAGCACATGCTATGAGGCATGTTCCCAGGGAAGCTTGGGAGACACAGGGTAATAGTGTTATGTATAGTAATGTGATAAATCCAAGGGATGCATATAACCTCTTCATGTCCAATTCATGTTTATTCAGATAGAAGTCCCAGTGTGTACAGCGCACAGGATCATGGCCTTAGCATAAGCTACATGTCCAAGAAGTAATAATTCAGAAAAGAAGGTACAATATGCAGTAGGGTTCTTTGGCCCTACTTCACTTAATCCTTGTGTAGGCAGCATGCAATTCCTATATTGTCCACATAAAGGGGTGGGGGGAAGCAATGCAAATTGGGGAGACGGAGAGACGAGAATTATTTGTAGTTTTTACCATTGTTTTTACCATA